CTTCAATCCCCCAATCTAGTCTCAGATTTGAGGGACTGCAACCATTTATTGCTGCCTTGATTCTTTTGGTTAAATTAGTTTGAAGACAACCATATGTTTCCTGTCGCAAAAAAAAAGACAATCATATGTTTCCATAAATTCTGTAATGCTTACTGATTGAGTGGAATACATGGGGTGATTAGCGTCAGTTTTGATTTCCATTGAAATACTTGTAATACTAGAAAAACGCCGTGCGTTGCAACGGGACCACATTAACTTTAAGAGTTCAATATTACGACATTGGCGACCTTTTTTACCATCAAATCCTCACACACACAGACACACACTCTCCCTCCCTCTTCCTCACTCTCTATCCCCCTCTCCCTCTCTCTCTAACACACACATATCCATCTTATTGGGTACGGGACCATAATCCATCTATTTCACACATACACGCTAGTGCATAACAATATGGATTATGTGTATTATATTTGCCACCAGAACTGAGGAAATTAATTTCATATAAATCGACCAGCCACAGCTTCAAGAATACGCGGACGAGGTGGCTCGGGTCGGCGTCGGCGCCGTCCAGCGCGGGCCACGGGCCCGCTTCCAAGTGCATGTGCAATGCACGTCTTCACAAATATTATAACCAGACGTGAGAAATCGCATGCACAGAAAAGACATTCTGATAGCAATCCAAATACCATACTCAATTGAATACCTAACCTCGACAATACTCTTATTTCTATGCGCCAGAAAAAATGGAATAGCAAAGCTAAGTATGCCTACATATGCTCAGATTATATATAAAAATCTTGGATGAACAATTGCAACAAAGCACTAAGCAGCGATAAATTTAAATAAAAAATCCATTAACTATGCAGGCAGCAGGCTTGTTACAACATAGAGAAATAGGAAAATGTCACCTCCAGTAATGTAGCGCAAAGGAGTGGAACGAAGCATGAATGAGCGGTTGTCTGTTCTTCTCCATGTACATGGATCAGCAGTAGAGGCCAAGTATATAAGTACTTGACCGAACTCCACTCTTCGTGTACGGAGAGCCATGTCACCTTCTCGCCGCTGCAGCATGGGAGGACGGCTGGTTCACGTGACCCTCCAGCTGGGGGATCCATGGTGGCTGACCGTCGAGCTCGAGGCAGAGAAGTTGAGGGCAGTAGTGGCGAGATCCATGCCGGCCAACGGGCGAGGAGGGACACATCGGCAAGATCCGGTCACCACGTGACCTGAAGAGCAACATTGATCTCCACAAGCTGTAGGCCGACGGCGTGCTCCATCCCCTATGATGGGGTGACCATGGCGGTGGCCACAGCTCCTCATGCTCGCCTCGATCTCGGCGACACACCCTGGGTGTAGGAGGCAACAACGACCTCGACGAAATCATGGCCTCCATCCCGGAACGCAATCATGTCGCTCTAAATAAATGGATTCAATCATGTGACTCTAATTACTTCGGATTGTTATGTGCACACTAAGCGGGGTGCAGTTAGGAAAGAAAATATTTTCTAATTAAAGTGATTGAGTGATTTAAGGTAAGGTTAATTAATTTAGATTTGATTTTTAGTGATTGTTAGTAAAGTATGATGCGTTTTTAAAATCTTTTATTTGTTTCCTTAAAATCTATTATTTGTTTCCTAAAGAAATTTGCAATAATGGAAGGTATCGGTTGATTTGGATAAGTTAGTAAATTTAGATCCGTGATTGCGTGCACGTTTGAAAAGTGCTGATTTGCAAGAAAAGAGCTGAGGGGTAAATAAACCGGTGAATAAGAAACCAGCATCGAAAAAAATCTACGACGGTTAACCTACGAAAAAAAACCGAACGAAAGTGGTGGGACGAAAAAAAACCTGGAAGCGAGACTACCAACTGCTCCATTAAGAGTAGAGATTACATATTACCACCTAAACTCTACCTGTCTCTAATTTGGCTATGTAGAGCACTGTCTATATTTATCTTCACACACAAAAATAACCATTGGAAAGTACAAGAGGGCGACAACAGCACTAATTTCATTGTATTTCGATGTGGAAGAAGAATTCCTACGAGCACTGGCTACGATGCAAGTGCGTCTGTGATACATTCGCATACATGTTTTTTCCATCAGGGTGAAACGATTGTGCGAGGCAATGCATGGCGTGAACGTAAAAGTCAACACCAGAATAATTTCAAGGGAAGGCACCGTCAAGATTGGAAAGAGGCATGCGTGCCTAGTTAATAGTTTTGGCATCTTGTGATCAGCTTGCCGGATTTTTATAAATTTGTTAATTATCAATTACTTCCTCTATCCCATAATATAAAGGTGACCACTAGGCGCCGGTCGACCGGCCTAATATTCGGCCGGTCACCGTGCGTCCATTGGATTTGTCTAATTCCACCCGTTGGATTTGTCCCCACGTCTTCAGCACACCTCGTTTCACATCTAGCTTGGTTCTAGCAAAAAGCGCTTGTGTCGACCAACAGCTTGAATCCATGGCGGACTCCGCGGTTACCGCAACCCCTGCTCGTCCTTTGGCGGCCTCCGCTCGTCCTCAACAGCTTGCCGTCGTCACCACCCTCGAGCGCTCATGGAGAGAGAGAGGAAGAAAAAAGGCTGGGAGGAAGAAGAGCAGCCGAGGGATGGATAAGGCGTGGATGCATGGCTAGGAAAGAAGCCAGCTGTACGTGGGTCCTGGACGAGGGACCTGGCACGACAAAGAGCCCTCGATCAAAACGCACTGGCGCGGCCCGGTCGGCCGGCTATAAACGTTTCCTTAATATAAAAGCATTTTTGACATTAGGTTAGTATAAAAAACGCTTTTATATTATGAGACAGGGGAGTAGTTTAGATTGGAGAGAGAAAGAGTCCGTGTCCATTTTTTCTATTAGTTTGGTTCTGAAACCAACTTAGGAATCGAGTCAGACGTGGCCACGTATATATGCTGCCTGCGAGCACTATTTTAAAGGCCAGGTTGGCCGTGTATGAGGGAAGTTTTTCTGGCTTAGGTTATTTTCATCGATGGATAGATCGGCAACTCGGGGTATCTCCAACACGTAGGCCTGGGCATTCGGTATAAACCGAAAATTCTTGTTTGGTTATTTTGTCAATTCGGTTAGCAAAGACGAAAGATTGGGCAAATTATTCGCGCCATCATTTTTCTTTCGACGTTCGCATCACAAGTTGTTACTGATGGTTTGCATGGTGCCTTGAAAAGGTAGTTATGAAATAGTTTCTGTGCAGACTTTGTTCAAGAGCGTCAGTGACAGGGTTTCACAATGGGAAGTCATATGTGAGGACCTATTTTGAGAAAAGTTTGTGAACGCAACTTATTACTGATGGTCGTACCCGACCACATTCGCTCACCGCCTCTATCATCCCACACACCACCCCAGGTCGTCCCACAGTACTTTCAACCACCGCCGCCTCCCTGCACCCCACCCCGGGTCGTACCCGACCACATTCGCTCGCCGCCCCCACCACCCCACACCCCACCCCGGGTCGTCCCGCATTCTCCCATCGAAGCCTCGAGCAAGTCGGCAGCCCCGGCCACGTCGCCGGCGAACACTTCAAGCCTCCTCCCTGGGACGCGCGACCCCCGGGCACCTCGTCCCGCACGTGGTTGCCGTGCTTCCGTGCCCCAACATAGCTCCGCCGAGCGCCCTGCATGCAACTGGATTACCGCGGGAGTGAGGATTGGTGGGAAAACACGATCAACATATGGATTTCAGTTATCCTTCCGCCATGCAACATGTCATCTTCACCTTAATCTCTCTCGCTATTTTATTCCGTATGTCATGTGCACTCGTTGATGCAACTGTGATGCAGTGAAAAGTGCTACTTTGATCGATCAGCAATAAAGTGATAAATTGATATTTAATTAATTAAGTGCACTACGCATGTATTTTATTTTTAGCTAGGCAAGATATATATGGAAGCACATGGTGTTCTCCTTAAAACAAACCTCTACCACACGAGTATGAATTCCCGATTTATCACTTTATTGCATTCACGTCACGCTACCACGTGGATGGAAGGCAAAATGAATAACGAACCAAACAAAAATCTTGGGGAATCTATATCATTTACATCATGCATGTATAGGATCGGGGGGAAATACATCAAAGAATCTGCACTAGAATGCATCAGCAAGTTTGGAGATGAGTTTCAGTCTGTTTGCTTCTTGTCACATCCAGACCTTTAGCCATTTAACTATGCCTAGACAGTTCAGACAACGGAATCCAGCGGGCTCCTTGGCGCTAGTCACCCCCAATACAGGCGTCAGCTATGGCATCGCTCCTCCTCATCTTTAACACATAATGTCATTGTGTTTCACGGAACTGGCAATATATGGTTTCAAATGATCCTATCTCTTTAGATAATTTGAATTAAGCAGCATGGTTTGCCTGATTTTGATGGCACAAAATATGATGGAAAAAACATGGTGACATTTATTTCGTATAGTCATCATATTATAGTAGCACACAGAGCCCAATAAACCAAAGAGAACAAGCAACACCAAAGATTCACAGTACAAGCATGGAAATAAAACACTAAGTGTGAAAATCAGCGTGGCCACTAGACCGGATTATATTGAAGAAGCCATTGCTTCTCAAACAAAGAACTATCTCTCCGCGCAGCAAGTGGGCTCATCGGAGTTTAGGATCAACAGGCAATGGTCTGAACCTACTCGCAAACAAAGAGCATCCCAATCACAAGAGACAAACATTATCTGTTGCCAGAGATAGAGAGAGAGAACTAATACAGAACTTGACCAATTAGGTGCATTTTGCTAAGTATTTGAGCCAACCTATAATTGCAACAGTCATTCACATAGAAGGTACATACATTACTATCACAAATCACATTTGTTCTAAATAGTCAGTCAGACACATACATTATCAGCCAAGTGCCCAAGTACTTGTTCAATAAATATAAGGTCATAAACAGCGCTTCAGGTGCATTACATAGTTTTGATTTGAAGGACAGTGATACAGTAATCATAGTACAACGGCCAGCCTGCCGTCTAAAGCAGAGTCCTTCCACGAAACTCCGGGAGATGGTACATATCCAGCTCAAGTAGACCATGGTACCAATATGGCTCGGGCACAGGCCACCTGTCATAAAACAATACTCTTCATATGTAGTCCATATTAAAATCTCTAAAAAGATGTATATTTAGGAATGGAGGGAGTAAATTCGTAATCCGGGATTGAATCAACAGTACATGCTACAAGCATAAGGGGGCAACAGAAACTGAAGGAATACCTATTTTTCCTTGTCCTGCCTCGAGCACCATATTCTATGTGCTCAGGACGACCATTCAATGATCTGTCAACAACACACTGTAAATTCACAGAGCAAGTATGGCCATACCCAGTTAGTATTGAGATGTAACAGAAAAAATACCTTGATGGTAGTGAGAGACCAACCACTCTCTTCAGAACTTCAACAATCTTACTCCTTGGCAGGAAAGGAGTTTCTTCACTTCCATCATAGAAGTTCATACCAACAAAACTCCCACCCAAGTTAATAAGAGGCCCTCCAATCCCAGCCTATGACAACCATAAAATATAGGTAAAAGCCATAAGTAACTGAAGAAGTTTCAGATTCAAATATAAAAGCAAAATAGATGTATAATATGACTAAAGAAATGACTCAGTCCTAACACAACAACTATCTATACTGGCTACCATGTAAGAGAATTTCACCATTGTACCTTGTTGATTTTACAAGTGGACAGTTTAAGATATCTGCAGTCAAGTTTGATACTACCATTGTTTCGCTGCTTCACTTCACCAAGTAATTTGATACGCTTGCTTCTCCGCTTCACTTCACCAACTGAGTCAAGTTTGATGCCCTTGTTTCTCTGCTTCACTTCTCCCATTGAGGCCATTAATAATCTTTTTTGAGTGTTAAACCCTATGGCTACTACTTTTCCAACCAATGAAGGGAATTTTCTTCGACCCAAAGTAGGTAGAGCATTTCGAGATGGCATCTGCACCGCATTAAAAATATTTTCTGGGCGACAAGCACAGACATAATCCCCAACACTGACAATAGCTATGTTGTAGTCCACGTTATACCATTCCAATGTCCCAGTGACGGTCCTATTTTGTGGGAGAGACACCTCAATCTACAATGGTAAAAGATGAGGTCAACTAAACATCAAACAACTTAAAACGACCAAGACAAATGATTAGGAGCACCAACCCTCAAGTTCGTAATATGGTCATCATCATCATGACATCCAACCCCAGAATCACCACACCTCAAGCTATCAATATAGTACTCATTATCATGACCTCTAACCAAACTGGCTGAAGTGAGAATGACAGAGCATGCCCCACTACTTTCAGGCCACCATATAAGCAACCCTGTGCATGCAAAATACCTCACATGTCCTACACCAAAAAAATTATGATTAGCTAATGAAGAAAACTAGCACGGAAATGTAATGAGCACATAACTGTAAAAATTACCACGGAATGATTTGAGTGAGACAACACGTTGGGATATATCAGAAACAACTTCATTTGGAAATTGCCCCCAGACACGATTCTCATGAACAAAGGGTGGATCATCATAAGGATACCCTTCCAGAGCAAGTAAACCACCAAAATATCCTTCAAATCTATTAAGCAATTCCCCTTTGACTGTTTAGAGAAACAGGCTCAGAGGTTAGATCAAAGAAAGGTAAGGGAAAGGACATCAATAGCAAAAGCAACGACTTACATTCAAGCACAAGTGGTGGTGCCATGGGATAGCCAAGAGATTTCAGACGGTTAATCTCTCTCCTAAATCCTGATGCGATAAGATGATTAATATTACTACTCAGATGATATGCATGAAAACATTCACATAATATTCCACACACACACACACAGACACACACACACACACACAGAGACAGATCAATAGATAACATTTGGAAATGATAATCGCATGATTGATTATTCACACCTGAAGGGCTTGCACAGAATACATCTGAAGGCAACGAATAACCACGGAAGTCGAGTTTTTTAGGACTGCAATAGAACAACAGTCATACCAACACATCAACAAAATCTTACAAAAAGAAACAAGGTATTAAAAACATTTATAAACATTTGACAAAAGAGATGACAGGATTGAACAGATTCATATGTTGTAAGCATGAGTTGCAATGTCGATATTGTCCAAAAGAAAAGTTTAGCTCTTCCTCGCTTAGAGAAAAGTAGCGTCCACATTAAGCAAGAGCACCAAATTAGCAACAAGAGATTTGGCCTAACGGAGGTAGCAGGACAAGATTGTTTTCAAACCACAGATTGCATGGAAACTCCTTTGGTCGAAATGGTATTAAAAAATGGCTACCTTAATGGAACACCATATGGGCTTAGATAAAATATAAATATGCCTACTGGGGGAGAAAAAAATAAGCAGATATATGAAGTATAAAATACATACTTGAGTATCCCAAAATGCCTCAAGCGATTAAGAAGTATCACCCCTCGAAGGAACATGACATTTCTTCCAGTAAAATCATCTGAATCGTCAATAGGAAGGCTCATCCCAAGAAATCTACCACCAGTTCCTATAATTGGCCCTCCAAATACAGCCTACAACAAACATATATAAAGTGGTAAGGTTTATTGAGGAAAGGCATCTTCACTTCCGGGAACAGTGATAAGTAAACCATGAATATCATAATGCCAAGAAACTAATTAAGATACAAATATGCAGCATACCTCTGTCAACGGATCTTCAGAAACCCACATGGAAGGCTTTCTACTCTGAGACTCATGTGCGGCCAAACTGCCTGACGCAGCCATCAAACTGCCTGACGTGAAGGCACGTCCGACAGCTAGTATTGGATCACCACAAGAGGGCTTTCGATGCTGAGGATTCAGATCAACTTCATGGAGAGATGGGAGGTCCGCGGTCGTGACAATTGCAATTTGTTGATCATATAGACCCAACAACCCGCCGGTAGTAGTGTTATCAGGAAGGCGCACTTTGACCTTAATTCCAGTGACAAAAAAAGCAGTACATTAGGACAGGGTCACACAAATTAATTAGATTGCTTGAAAAACAAAGCAAAAATGAAGAAGGTAATAATTGTTGGCAGCTAGCACAACCCTCAAATCATCATCTCTGTTTCTATTAGAGGTATATGCAGTAGCCAAACGTGCAGAGGTCACAAATCTTGTCAGCCGTAATGCAGTTCTTCCGTACGGTAGAGGTATGCCCGAGCAAGCAAATAACATCTTTTCTCCTGCAAAAGATAATGATTTAGACCATTAATATATATAAGCAACAACTAGAACTAGATACAAATTAGGAATGAAAGTTTCATAAGCATGTATATATAGCAGAGCAGGGCAGCACACTGACCATCAAACAAAGCAATGGAGACGACAATGGAAGACAAATGTCGAGGTATTCCGGCACTGGTTAGATAGCGTTTTTGACGAGGTGCGCATTCAGTGCCAAATGGTTTCTCTATAAAAGGAGTGCCACTGCCAGCAGCAGGTGCAATCGGTTCGCCAAAAAGTTGTTCCTCAACAGCACATTGTTTCTCCTCGGCATCAACAAGCTCAGCACGAATAGCATTTACTAATGAATGAATGAACATGCATGGTTCAATGGAATTAGTAATTGTCAGAGCAATATGTATGTGCACGTACGAGAAGGAAGAGAGAGAGCAAAAGCATTTACTCACGTACGTTTGTCCATTATTTCTATGGCGCTACTCAAGCCTTGTTGTTCTGCGCTACCGCCCGTTGAAATGGAGGATGAGTCTTGGGCGCTTCTTGTATCACTGACTCTGCTGTCTGAAGTCCTGTAGCCAGCGAAAATAAACTTTGAAATCAAAAAGCTATATGCATAGTGCTACAAGTTGAATTCGAACAAGTGCTAGCTCCGTGAGGAAGGAGAATTTATAGACACTTACGACATCGCGCGCGCAATTGATTCCGGCCGCCTGCGCGCCGTGAAAGCGAAACGCCGATCGATCGAGTAAGGCGGACGACAGGATGAATGGAGAGATGGATGAATCTCATCTAGGGTTCGTTGAGGATGGAGGGATGAATCCTATCCAGCACGTAGGTAGGGCTCGGATATCTCGGCGGCGGGTGCGGGATACGTACGAGGTCGATGGATAGGGTTTTTTTTTTTTGCGGGCAATGGATACGTTTGTGTGCGCCCCTTAATCGTGGCCCGTGTCAGAGTATGTAGAGCGTATTGTATTGTATTTTATGTGCTAGCTCCTGTATTCTGTATAGGTTAGTGGCGCACGATCAAGAGTAGTGGCTCGCCCCATGATCTCCGCCTAGACCGGTATGGCTCTTCAACTGTATGTACATATAACTCTGCCTATGTGTTTTTTCTTTTTTTGAAGAAAAAGGCCTTTACGGCTAGCTTTATTAACTTTAAATAATGCTTACATCAACCGCGAGTAAATCTGAAATAATATCGGGGGGAGAGCCGAACCACAAAGACGGTGGATCATCCCGACCCTGTTGAGCTAGCGTGTGAGCTATCATATTTGATTCTCTGTTACAAAATTCAAAAATGACCTTCCCAAAATCTGCAATAATTGCCGACATTCATCCAGTATTGGGCCAGCCACCATAGAGAAACCAAGATTGTTCGCCACCCCTGCCTATGTGCTAATCAAAGTGTGCTTAACATTCTCCCTAATCCTCGTCTAACATGATGGTATCACATACCCCCTCTCTACTCAACCCCTTTTGCACAGAACCACGATCGCTTCTGTGGTGTAGGCCCAGTCGCTGCAGCTCCACCACCAGCCGTACTCCCACACGCGGCGGCCGTGCCTGCGGTTGCTGCTGCGGCTCCGCTTCCTCCTTTCTTCTCATCGTTCCAACCGTCGACATTCGCCGCCACGTCCCCATCACACTTGACCTACTTGCCGGCAACTACTCGCAGTGGCGTCGACACTTCGATACCGTCATCGGCATGTTCAGGCTGCACGATCACGTCGACTCGAGCCGTTCCACGCTTCGACGACTTGGAGTGGCAGATGGTGGACCACGTAGTGGTGCACTGGCTCTACACCACCATCTCGCCAGAGCTCCTCGATGGTGTCATGCAACCAGAGGACATGGCGCTCGCCGTGTGGACCGCCGTCGACGGCATCTTCCGTGACAGCCAGGTCACGTCCGCTGTCTACACGGCGCCGAGTACCACGCTGTCGTCCAAGGAGACATGTCCATCATGCAGTACTGCACACGGCTGAAAACCTTAACGGAACAACTGCGTGACCTTGGTCGGCCCTCGTGACAGACACTCACCAAGTATTCCATCTCCTCCGTGGTCTCAGCCGGCCATACCTATTTTGTGCCATGTATGCTTGTGTTATGTTTTTTTCTCTTCTTTTGTGGAATCGCACTAGACGTACCGCATTTTTGCCATGGCTACATTTTTTTTAGTGCAGTGGCAAATTTATGTGCTTTTCGACGATTTTCTCACACCCTTGTTATGTCATTGGCGGGAGGTGTGGGGTTGAACTTTTTCAATTATGTAGCATGATTTTTTTTCTCACCTTGTATTTTGACATTTCTTCTTGTGTAATCACTGTGGCAAATTACGTAGAAATTTGTGTATCTTTTTTTTTGCAGGGTAATTTGTGTATCTTCTTTGCATGGCAAATTTTTTAAAATTGTTTCCATTTCTATGCAATCTTGTGGCAAATTCATGTTGTACATAATGGCAATTTTATGTGCTATTTTCTATCTCGTAATTTGGTTTTGGACAATAGTCTTAGTCTTATACATCATGGCAATTAGTGACCCATTGTTTAGTGAACCAACTGGCGCCCACTGCAGCGCATAGTGGGCTGGCCC